ACTCAACCACTGAGCCACTGCCGTGCAGTGTGGGGTGGGGACTGGCATCTGCCCACACAGAGGGCTTCGCATCCCAGCGAACACATGCTCAAGTAACTGGCATCTGGCGCCGCCAGAGCTGCCAGATCCCTCCCCTGGCACCACGTGGGGACGGCCAGCACACAGCTTGGGGAGAGGATCCAGGAATTCTTGGAGCCAACCTTGTACACATGGGCAGGAGGCCTGCAGAGGCCCCCGTAGCCTGGGCTCCCTGCCTGGGGAAGTGGCCAGGCCTCTTGGGGGGACACCCACTCGCCCTGCCCCAGGGGCCACGGGGGCCAGCGCAGCCCTGCCTTCCCCGGCACCTCTCCTACCCTGCACTCTGCCCTGCTGCCCGCTGGAAGGAGAGGAGCCAGAGCTGGGGGGAGCGGGGGGACCGTGACGCTGCTGTTAGTAATAACAGCTGTTGAGCTCTGCTGCGCCCCAGGCAGGGTGCTGAGCGCTTCCCAGCTACTCCACACGTTTCCCAGCTACTCCACATGTTTCCCGGCTACTCCACACGCCACCCGGTGAGGGGCTGCCACCACTTGGGAGCTGAGGCCAGAGCGAGTAGCCTGCCCAGGACCACCCAGCTGGCCCCCGGCCCAGATGGCTCTGGGTCAGGCAGGCAGCCTGGATGTGGCTGTGGGAAGGGCCGGGGGTAGGGCCCTGACCCCTGCAGGCCCCCTGTCCCCCGAGGCCTTCGCCACGCGAGTGGGGAAACCTTAGCAGAGACTCTGGGTTTTACACCTTTTTTTTTTTAACTGGAATTCCCTTTACTTTTTTTTTAAATTATATTTTTATTGACTTCAGAGAGGAAGGGAGAGAGAGAAACATCAATGATGAGAGAGCATCATGGATCGGCTGCCTCCTGCACACCCCACACTGGGAATCGAGCCCTGACCTGGTTTCACAGGTCGACGCTCCACCACCGAGCCAGCTGGCCGGGCTGGTTTTACAGCTTTTGACTTAAACTCTCTCCCAGGAGGATGTCCGTCCCCCTGGTCCTCTGGTTCTCCTTCCTCCTCTTTCCCGGTGCCCATCCCGGTTCCCTTCACCTGGAGCACGTCGCTGCCGGCCCCTCCAGGTCGCATTCAGGGAGAAGCCCGTCCGGCGCGGCTCCCTGCCGGTGGGAGCTCATGGCCCTCGGAGCGGGGCTCTCCCAGGCGCCTCGGGAGCTGGTTCCGCTGAAGGGAAGGGCTCAGATGGCTTGTTAGTCGGGAACGACGAGGCCAGACGACTTGGCAGGACGGAGGGAGCCGGCTCTCCAGCTGTCTCACGTTGAGCAGACGGATGTGCTGTCTTTGGTGGTGAAGGAATTGATTGGGCGTCTTCCTCCCGCTCCTCTGAAGAGCCACGGATGGTACTGAGGACTTTTTGGATTCAGAGACCCCCAGAGGAGGTCGAGGGAATGGGCTAGACTATCTAACCTGGCCCCGAGGGGTAGCTCCAGAGGACAGAGGCGCAGAGAGGGCCAGGGCCTCCATGGGGGCCACACAGCCCCATGGGGACCGCTCCCCTTTCCCCACGCATCTCGACTTTCCATACCCTGGTAGCCTGCTCATTCACTCAGCAGCCATGGTGGGAGCTCCTACTGGGAGCCAAGCGCTGACGGAGCGTGGTGGTTTGGGGGCAGGTAGAGGTGAGCACACTCCTCCCGGGAGGCCCGGGGCTGGGTGTGGAGCGCACAGTCTTAGCAGGGCAGGGCATGCTGCTCCTGTTTGGGGGAGATCCTGGGGCATGGCCTGTCTCAGCCACAGAGTCGGGAAGTTGGGG